AAGGTTGCATAAATAAAAATACATTTTTACTATGGAAAATTAAAATTCATAATACGATTTAACGATAAACTTTGTATAATGAAATTAAAGAATAATTTTCAATAACGTGTAATTAAAGTCGTTCTTATTTGAAGATAAACATATTAGATACAAATTAAAGCGATTATAATAAATTTCACGAAATTAGTAAATACATTGATCAACCGCAATGTGTTTCACAAGTAAATATTTTTGTATCACGCATCTTTTTCTTTTCTCTGTTTCCGTCTCCCACACATGTCGAATAAACTGCACTGGTTTATGTGGGCGAATTATTAATTAATAACTTAACACATGTCGAAATAAATACGTTAGCGTTATAGAGTTGAGAGATTCTGAACTTTATCTAACAATCTCGTCATTGTATGCCGAAATAACGTCAAAATATATTATCGTTAAATATTTTCGTTACATATTTTCATACTTCTTCCTATTCCACTTCTTCTCTAATTCGATTAACAAAGATCATTAAAATTTTTACTTTCGTATATTCCTAAATAAATATTTTCGTTTCAATAAAATTGCAAAAATTGACTCACCATTCTAATAATCGTATCACAATGTGACATTAAATGAATTAACGCAAGGAAGTTCTATTATTTCGATCGAAATAATTAAATACGAGGAAAAGAAATTTTCTTTGATAGATGGTTAGAAGACAAACAGAAATGAGATTAATAAAGATATGGATACCGATATAATAGTACGAATATTGATATAATATTTCGAACCAGCTAGTTCTAGCTCATCAGTTGCATAACCTAAACGAAATCGTGTAGGTACGGGACTAGGCCCCTTAGCAGACAACACGCCTGCGCACGCGCGTGTGCTTACCGCGTGAAAACGTGACGGAACAGCCAACTAACTTAGCTGTCGTTTTCTTTCTTCGTCCCTCCTTCTTTTTCCTCTCTTCTCCTTCTCTCTCTTTCTCTCTTCCTCTTTCTCGATTATCTGTTCTATTGTTTCTTTTTCGCTACTACTCTGCTGTCGAGTGAAGGTTCTATAAATTTATGTGTATGATCTTGCGACTTTTTTTCTTTTAATTCTTTCACTTTTTTCTTTATTTTTGATTTGCGAAATTATATACTAGATTAAAATTCCTTATGAGCTTAAACATTTTTCAAATATACTTTTTTATTATTAAAAAAAAAAAAAAATTGCCTAAATTATAACGCGTTTTCCGATCGATTTGAAAAACATCTTTTAAAAACACGTATAGTCAACACTATTATTATTGTGTAAAAGTAAAGATGTTTTTTACGAACCTGTGGAAGTGTAAAATGGCAATGTTACTCAAGACTGTGACACGAAAATGCAAAGTTAGCACGGTAAGGAGAAAACGATGCACGAGTTAATTACGAGATCGCCGCTAAGAGAATTCCTTAACGAGTACCCGAGTCGTCGATTAGAGAGTTGCAATTGACGGTCGTCGTGAGGTAACGGTCGAGAGACCCGCGACTTCAAAAGAGAAATCTTCTTCCTTTCGTTCCTCTTCTTCACCCATGACGAGTAATACGCCGAATACGCCAGATGGAAATCTCGAAATCGCATATCCCATTTTACGATGAAATTTATCTTTTGAGCGGAACGCTTTTACCTTTTGCCTATGGAACATTTGTTCATTTCTCATTGTCAAAACATTTCGACGTTTTCTCGAACATCGTAAAATCCATTTATTTATTTATTTCACAACAAAAGGATATATCGGAAATAATAATAAATAATTTTCTCGAAAATTAAAAGATTTATCTTGAAAAAAATGTCCAAGATATTTATAATTCTAGGAGGAAAATTTGACGTAATCGACTTCTTTCCTGGTATCAGAATTTTTCAGAAATTTAATTTCTTCTTACATTGATTCGTACTCTTTTCTATCGTTCGTCGGAAAAATTGAAATTCAACGGGATAAAATGATGATAAAATAATTAAAATATGTTGAATAAGACAGGCTGCTTCAGGGAATCGTAAACACGTTTGACCACTCCTTTTCTTTTTTCCATGTTCCGTCGACGGAGAAAAGAGAGACAAGAGGTTAATGCAACGTTTCCTGAAACATGAGGTAATCCCCGATCTGCGACCGACGTTTCTGCGCTAGCACGGACCGGACACGCCCGCGCTTCCAGCCGTTTTTCATTAGTTGTGTCGTCAAAAGCGGCGACATCCGCGAGAATGTAATATAGATCGTGTAATTGCGATTCCTTGCGATCGTACCATTCAATTGCTTTCTGATTTTCTCGTTTTATCTCGTTTTATTTATCTAACGTAATTTTCTTTTTTTTCTTTTTTTTTAAATAATCAATAGAGTTTCATTTATGTTATATCGAGGCCATGTTGAAATGATATATATTACGATTATGAGAAAAATTGTACAATTGTAAGCGAGGAGAGCGAAGATGATAATTTCCTGTTATTCCAACGTGATGTTTATTCGACGAAGTATAGATATAGGTATTAATTAAAACACGCAATTCATTGCCGCGTTCATAATAGAACATAATAGAATGCGTAAGAACTGCATAACAATCGAATACACTGACTTCTCGATTAAAAAGTTGATAATTTTCCAAGGGGACGTTTCCAGGAGAGAAAATTGATTATAATCAAAAAATTATAAACATTCTACGATCAAAATATAATTTCAAAAAAAAATATAATTCCCTATCTTGATTAATATTCTTCCGATAAATGATAGTAATGAAAAAAGAAAAAAAAATCATCGATAAAATCAACGAAATTTTATACTTGTTTCCTAATAATATAACGGCAACGAGTTTAAATTCAAAATACATATATATATATATATATATATATATTTTGACAAAAATTTCATAATCTTAATGTTCAACGAAATCCTTCCTTCCTCCCGTATCGACTGATCCTCGCGCGCAGTTGCGCTTCAAGCTGGAAACGCTCGAACGGATACGTCAATTAGGACGCCGCTAATTCACGGAGGTTGCGACCTTCCTCTCTCGGCCCACGTACGGGCCAAAGTAATAACGTAACTTGTTTGGAACACGAGGTATATCGCGGGACAAGATCGGTGGAGGGGGTAAAGGATCGGTCTGAAAGCGTGTCTTGGTACCGAAGCTGCCATTGGCATTGACAAGCGTGTCAATGCCGCAAGAACCGCTTGCCTCGATTTCATTTCGCTGCTAGTACGAACAAGGTCACGGTAGTTTCGTTGTATCACGATCGAAAGGTCATCTGTCATTTTTCATCCGTTTCGACTCGACATTTCGATCTCTTACCCGTTTCGAATATTTTTGCGTGTGGTAGATGATAAAAAAAAAAAAAGAATTCAAGATTATTTTTTTCTTTTGTTTTTCAGATAAATTTTTTCGTAATTTTTATTTACGATCACTTGAATTAATTATACAGATTATTACTATGAATAATTGAACGATTGAAATTGTGAATTCCGTACGAAAAATATAAATGATATGATTTTTTAACTCTATAGTGATTTCAAACTTTTATCTTTTAGTATATACGCTATTTCGTGTTTTACTTTATAATGCTTGTGCGGTGTTAGTTTATTGCATTTTTCACTTTACGTGTAATGTCTCTATATAGTAGAAAAAATGCGCGCATGCGCGATGTTTAGTTATTTATCATTGTACCTTATTCTCCTATAACCTCAAATTTTTCAATGAGATACCATTTAAAACAGAGAACAAAACGTTTAGTATATTAAGTAATCATACAGATTAAATTAACGATTGTAATGATCACGATTCGATATGCCAATCGTATAATTATCGGTTTTATAAATGAACAGAATCGCAAAATTATTATTGTCGCGGACTCCATTATTAAAATACACGAGGCACAGGAAACGAGGTTGCACACGCTGCAATCCCAAAAGACCTCCGAGAGGTTGTGAATTAATCGGGCAGGGTCAATAAGTGGGGGTCAAACGAGCACGACTCGTATCGAATTAGCCGGTCGCGGAGAAATTAACCCCCGAGAGCCAATTGCACGCTTCGCGTCCGCAGCCCTGTCAGATGCGCGCGCAATCGGGGACGAGCGGCCAATCGCTGCAATCGTTACGTTAATCGCGCCAATCTTTTTTCCCTTCGAATCATATCTTTGAATGCGCGTAACAATTTTCCGCTCCAACGCAGGAAATCGTCGCGTTCCCTGTGAGCAATTTATCTTGCATCGGAGAAAATGAACAGTACGATAAAGGTTATGCGTGTGCTTGTTGTACCTCGAGTTTGATGATATTTTAAATAATTACGGGTCGCTTGATTTTCCTTCTCAGTTTTCCCACGATCGAATTTACATTTATTTATGTTTATTTTCAGAACCAGTGGCTATATTTAAATCGTTGTGATACACGTTTTATTTTATAATTCCGTATTTGCATATCGTTTAATATTCATTTAATCGATATCTCGATCTAAATTCGAAGGTATTGGTATTCGAAGGGATAAAAAAATTTTTTCGTTGAAAAAGATTTATAAAAATGCTAATTCCACGTTTATAATTTGCATAGATGGACTTACCGGGCTTCCTGCGCGAGCTCCAAAGCACAGGAGGATGCGCGGAGGCGGCGACGGCAGCGGAGGGGTTACCGGCGGAGGCAGCCAGCTTGACTGCGTTCCGCGTACCTGAAATAAAATCAAAACAACGTCAGAACAAAATCAAAACAGCTATGTGCAGTTAAGCCTTCGATCGTATACTC